CACAAACTATACAAATCAAAATGTGTACCTGAATCCACAAAGTGATACACCCATGTATCCACAAACACATTTAGAAGTAGAACTTCATAGAGCCCCCTGCCTGAGGAGCCATTATTCCAACTTCCACTACCATATACTGACTTTGACAGTCTTAACGATTATGAATTATAGAGTACGAGTACATATTGTTTCTGTCTTGGCTTTTTCACTCTAATTACGTTTGGGAGAAGAAGCTTTTTATTTTGATGTAGTCCCACTTGTTCATTGTTGCTTTTGTTGCTTGGGCTTTGGGCGTCACATCCATAAAATCATAGCCAAGGCCAATATCAAGGAGACTTTTCCCTGTGTTCTCTTCCAGGGGTTTTATGGCTTCAGGTCTTATATTTAAGTTTTTATTCCAAGTTGAGTTAATTTTTGTAGATGGGGCAAAATAGGGGTCCAATTTCATTCTTTTCCATGTGAAATTCCACTTTTCCCAGCACCATTTGTTGGGGAGACTGCCTTTTCTTCTTGAGTGTTCTTGACTCTTGTCAAGAGATATATTTGACAAGATATTCTTAGCTGATATATTAGCTGACTATATATGCATGGATTTATATCCAGGCTCCCATATCTGTCCCCTTGGTCTAGGTGTCTGTGTTTAGGCCAGTGCCATATTGTTTTGATTACTATAGTTTTGTAATCTATTTTGAAATAAGGAACTGTGGTATCTCCTGCTTTGTTCTCCTCATTGAAGACTGCTTTGGCTGTTGGTTGCTATGCCACAACCTTTATGAAAGGGAGCGTGACAATAATGAGCAAGATTACATGTATTTTCACCCTTTATTCAGCAATAGTGCATCTAGGGATCAACTTCAAAGATATATTGATAAATATTGCTAAAGATTATGTCACAATTTTATTCATTGTGGCTGTATTCCTAATAGCCAGAATAGAAACAACCAAAGTGTGCATCAATAGAAGACTAGCTGACTGAATTATGGTACCTTCACACAATGGCATACTCTATAACTGTTGAAAGGAGTGGGAGATGTCTCTACATTGCACTATGGAGTGGTCTCATGGATACTGGGTGGTTTTTTTTTTTTTTTCAGATTTACTGAGGTATAATTTGTACAAAAAAAAAACAAACAAAAACCCTGCACATAGTAATGTATACGATTTCACGAGTTTGGGTATATGCACACATCCAGGTAACCATCTCCATGATCAAGGTAATAAACATATCCATCACCTCTAGGAGTCTTTCTGTGTCCCTTCATTATTTTGTTTTGTTTTGTTTTGTTTCTGCTTTCTTGTGATAAGAAAACTTAACATGAGATTTACCCTCTTAACATATTCTTAAGTGGACAATACCTGTTAAGAAAAGCATCGAATACAGTCAAACTTATGGAAACAGACAGTAGAATGGTGGTTGCTAGGAGAGGAGGGAAGGGGAATATGGAGAGTTGTTTAATGGATATAAAATTACGGTTATTCAAAATGAGTATGTTCTAGAGATCTGCTGTATAACATGGTGCCTATACATAACAATGAAGGCTATGTTTTTAAGTGAATAAAGGCAAATTGGAGGGGAGAGGGTTGGGAGGACAGAGTAACTGGGTGATGAACATTAAGGAGGGCACATGATGTAATGAGCACTGGGTATTAGATAAGCCTGAGGAATCACCGACCTCTACCTCTGAAACCAATAATACATTATATGTTAATTAATTGAATTTAAATAAAATTTTTAAAAGGGCAAAGTGAAAGAGTTTATATAGATGATGCAGCACTTATCTAAGGAGGAGAGAGTATATTGAATGTCTCTCTCTCTGATGAGAGATACAAATCTGATGGCCGGGAAGTACCAGTTGCTCCATTCCTTCAGACTTCAAAGAATCTGTTGAATATGCTGCTGCATGGGTTTTGCTTATCCTGGTGTCCCCACTTCCCACTTCTACCCAATGTTGGCTGTACTTCACCCACAAGTACTTCTGACAATTCATTGTGCTCAATATTTGTTCCAGATCATTCCATTTTTCATTAATAATTAATACTTTCCCTACATGTTAAGCTCTTCTTGGCCAGAAACCAGAGGTGTCAGGCCTTGATGGCCCTGCAGGGTTCACGTGACCTACTATTGAAGAGGTGCCTTTCTGGGCAAGGACTGAAAGTGGCAGAATACTGGAGGGGACTCATACTGGAACATAAGAGCCAACTTAATTTTTCAGGAGTTCTGCAAGCCAGCTGTTGAACACAGCTGTTTTAAAGACTAAATTATATAAAGTAGCAATTACAAGACATGCATTATACTGGAAACAAAAAAAAATACACAAAAAACTCATCAATTTTTAATTATTTTTCCTACACTTTCCTGTTACCTATGTTCTTCAGGTTATGCCCATTTGTTGTACCTGCCCATGTATTATACCTGGAAATGCATCCCTTCCCAACTCTGCACTAATTGACCTGGCGTCAGTAGCTTGAAATTGGCAAATGCTACAACAAAGGGCATTTCCCCCCAAGCCACCCCCTCCTCCAGAGAGCCTGTTGTTAAACACTTACAGGCATACCCCTGGTTGAAATTGATCCACTCTGCAGATACTCTCATGTGGTGGATATCCTCAGATCCAAACAATGCCGTTGTAGAACACATGAGAGTCGAGGCCTAACTCACACTATTTATTCTACAAAGTGATGTTTTGAATCTGTGAACTGGAGGAGTACATGACAAAATAGATGGATATGTCCTCATTTATGACAAAGTCCTAAGATGCCCATAATTTGCCACCGTGAAGAGGCTTTTTAAAAAGGCATAGAGCAGTGTACCCACACAAGTGCACTTGTGTGCATGCATTTATGGGGTGTGGGGAAGTGGGGTGGCAGGGGGGCTGAAGCATCGGTATCAGGCCTAAAAGGTTCTGCATAGAAGGACAGGCGGGACTCAGAAAAATGAAAGGGTACAGGACAAAGGGGCTCACTCCTTCTCCCAGTCTCCATCACTTTATTTCTCTTTTCCTCCCTCTTCTCATGCCACATCCTTTAACCCCAAATAGAATTTCCCTTTTACCAATTCAGCTGTGAGACTGTGGCGCACCTAGGATGCAGTTGCACAACAGGGCTTTAGTCCTTTTCCACGTGACACAGCTTCCTTCCTCTGTGATTATGTGGGCTTGTTTATCTAATATCTGGGAGAGGAGGGGTTTCAGGGTCACTGATTTAAGTAGCAAATCAGGGAAGGGAGGAAAGCATGAGATGGATGTCAGTCTTCCCCTATGTGCCAAGTGGCTTTGCATGTTTATCTGGCGTTAGATAAGGCTGATTAGAAGCCTGACTTCTCAAGGCCTGAAAGCATAAGTTGTCATCACCATCAGTCATCTTGGGTAACTATGAGGGAGGCAAGGAAGGAGGGAGAAAACACGATGGGGAAATAGCGACGGGGCATATCCAATTGAGCTTTCTGCCTTTGGGGCAGGGTCGCCAGTTCTTCCTTTGTTTGGAACATCAGCAGAGGACTGAGAAACAAGTGGAGGTAAGATCGGATCCACTACTACATGTTGTTACCTTGACTACAAAACAAAGAGACTATTTTTGAGACTCTTCTGACTGGATGTCTGCCTCTTCAAACTTTGAACCTTTCATTCAATGGTTTAGATATATAGAGATAGATAGATAGATAGATAGATAGATAGATAGATAGATAAACTTTTTAGAAGGTAAATTATTAGCTAATTCACCTGGTAAAGAGAAGGGAGTCCTCTCCCACCCATCTTTGGCTAAAAATTTCCCCCCAAAACACTTGTGCAAGTGGGGGGGGGTAATAATGCCTAGCTCAGAGACCTGCTGTGAGGCTATATGTCTTCAGCATACAGGGGGCACAGAATCAAGAAATGATATTGATTCTTCCTCATATTTCATGGGTCCTTCAAAAATAGGCTCTGGGTCTAATTCACCTCCCCTCTTTGATTCTTCTGGCCCTGGTTGGCTTCAGTGTCCCCCACTGTAAAATACACATTGGACTAGAATCAGCCTGGCATTCGCTTGGTCATAGTTGGCCTGAATGGATGTTTTCCTTGGCCCATGTAGAGGTCTTAAAGTGGAAACCAGAGCCAACATTTTAAAATTGAGATATTTTACGTAGATATCTGGAATTCCATTTTCTCTTGAAAAATCAGGAGATGTGGCAATGCAGAGTCTACATTCCTGCATGGCAACAATCGGCTAGAGCCAGGTGCCACCTGGCCCCTTAGGTAGAGCATGCACTGTCAGTTGACCAGAGCCTATCTGGGCTGTTCCACTCATTTATAAGACCTGCTTGACCCTGCAGACAACTCGATTTGGGGCCCTATGGACAGCTGGAAACAGTCTGTGCCAGGCAGAGGGTAGGCACTTACTTGCTCAATGAGTAAAACCCTTAACGCCTTTTTCTTTTCCCCACTACCATTTTCTTCTCTAGTCGTGTTACGAAATCCCACTTATTGAGTAGGGGGATTCTCACTTTGGAAAGCAAATTGAACAAGTCCATCAGAGTCAGGATGGTCTACGTTATACTGTGGTAACAAACAACACCTATATCTCACTGCCTTACAACAACAAGGGTTTACTATTTGTTCACACACATAAACCTAGACACAAAATGAAAACGTCCTTGTATTTTGACAAGCATGGATACGTACATGAGTGCACGGCTATGTTTGCGATCACAAGTCAAATGAAAACTCTGGCATATGAGTGTATGACCTTTCAGAGAACCCTATTGAGAGAATGATCAGCTTCAGTCGCACAACCTTGTTTTTCTAAGAGACATAAAAAGGCCCCAGAATCCAAGGCAGTAAGGGATGGTGGTACAAGAATATCCACTCTCAGCCAAAAATTGCCCCCTATAATAAAAAGGGCCTGAAAAAGCCTGTAAAAGAACCTGCAGGTTAAAAAAAATACATGTTAAGCATACTGGACATTAAACACTTTGCAAATGCATAAATAAGCAGTATTCTAGTGAGGCCTTCTCTTCTGGGCTTCTAGCTCAAGAAGGAGATGCACCCCAGATGTCCAATAGGCAGAGAAATAGTGGTGGCTGGCCTGGGTCTCAGAGAGGGGCTAGGAGGCTGGAGTCCTGTATCTCCAGCAGGAGCTGCAGATAGAAAGGAAGGCATCAGAGCCAGGTCAGATCCATTTCCTCTCCTGGCTCCCCCCTCTTTTTTGTTCCACCCAATCTAGGCTTTGTCACCTGGACTTACAGACTACAGCACAGAACTCTTCCTCGCTGATTTGCTCATCTCGGGTCTTGCCTCCTCCAGTCCCTCCATCGGAGCCACCACATTTCTTTTTGTCGGGCCCAGGATCTTTGAATATACTCCTCCCTAGCTCACACATTCCCTGCCTCCTCACCAGGCACAGTTTCTGGTCTAGCCCCTAAGCCTGGCATTCCAGACCTCTGTGATTGGCAGCCTCTCCGGCTTCGCCCCCTTCTGTTCCAGCAGTTCCTCCTTCACTCAGGTTGCTGCTTCACTCGTGCACCATACCCCATCCAACATTTTGGTCTAGGAATGCCCAGCCTTCCCTCTCAGCCTTCTCAGGCATCTACCTCTCCTCAGACTTCCTCTGTTCCTTCCTCTCCAGGCTCATCAATGAAATTTAGCCACAAAACACAAGGGAAGTGTAAAGGCATCCAGGCTCCACGTGGAGACTGGAATCAGAGAGCAGATCACCCTCCAGCCTAGGCTCTCATCACCTATGCATATCCTGCCCACCACAGCAGAACTGTAGGGGTGTGGATAGAAAGCTCTGGGCTGGGAGTGAGGAGACCTGGGTGTTCCACTTGATAGGCTGCATGCCCCAGGGCAAGTCCCTGCCACTCACGGGGTCTCGGTTTCCTTGTTTCTTGATGCTAGGGTGCTAGGGGCATTTGCTGTTGAGCACGGAGCTCGATAAACTGATGATTGAGTGAGCAACCATCAACTGCCATCTCCAGCATCAGACTGAGGAGCTTGGGTGCCTGGGCCCAAGGAGGTTCAACCCACCAACTCCGACCTCCCAGTTAGGCCCTGCTTACCACAATGCCCTCCCATTTCCCAACCATTCCCACCACTCCACGTTCTCCTTTTAAGGACCGGGCTACCTGCTGCCACGCAGGGCTGTAGCAGGAAGATGGAGCCAGAAGACTCCTGGGTAGAGTCTCTCAGAATCAGCAGAGCCTCGGCTGCTTCCAGCTTCCGCTGCCACTCTGAGGCAGAAACCAAGTCCTGGTCAGAGGCTTCAGGAGCCTGCCAGGGAAAGGGTGTGAGAGAATGGGAACCGAAAACCCACGCCTCCCCACCTCATGTGGCAAGTGCCCCTTCAGTCCCGGGTTCTGCTCAAGGCCCCACCCCCACCCCCAAGGCCATCTGCTCTTCCCATTCACTAAGCTTGGCCCCTGCCAGGGTTGTGGACCCCGCTATTTTCCCAGAATCTGTGGCTGCAGTAGGACAGGGCCAAGGATGGCACAGGGCTGGAGGACCAGGGCTGAGCATCTAGAAACAAGAAGAGAGGCCAGAGGATTAAACCCTCTGGCAGGCAGACATATACTACCAGTAGAGAGAGACAGGGCCAGGACTTTGCAATATCTGGATGTGGGAGTCTGAATGCCTGCTGGCTATTAGTCGTTGTGGCTCGCACAAGTCCTGATCTCTGTTTGGTCTGTTTTCCTTTCCTTTCTATGTCCTTCTTCTGTATCTCTCCTGGAACACTAATTCCTGCCAGCATTTCCAAAACTCCCAGGGCCACAGTGACGATTATGGGAAATCACAGGTGTCTGTGTTTTAATCTGCAAGGCACCTGGAGGGATGTGATTTGCTGTCCCTTGTGCAGGGACTGGTTCTCACCTCCATATTCCCCAATCCCCATGGAACTTGAAGGACCAGCTTGGCTCATCTAATGGCCAGGAAGCTTTCTCTAATGACCTCTGGACTCCCCACCCCGGGCCTTGTGACCCTCACCATCGTGGCCCTCCTTTCAGCAGGACCTTCTATCCCATCAATGTGTTTCATGTGGAATAATAGCCTCCATTAGTTGAAGTCCTGCTATGGTGGCACGCCTTGGCTTAGTCCTCTTGTCAGTGCTATAGGTGTAGGATATTGTCCCTATCAGTACACTGCTAGGGAAATGGAGGCTGGGAAATGTAATGTCACTTGTCATAAGTCTCACGAATAGGCAATGGCAAGGCTGGGAGAGCCCTGCCCGTGCCCGCTAGTCCGATATGCTGCCATCTCCACACGCCCCTCCTCCTCCCCCTGCCACTTCTTGTCCTGCTCCTCTCCTCCCCCTCCTTCTCCTCCTCATTGGCTGCCTCCTCCACTCCTTCCTTCTCTCTCCCACAACATCAAGCACAAAGGCTGGGCACCCAATAACATAATATACAACTAGCTCCATGTCCCTTCTCACTTTACTCACAGGCTGCGCAGGGCAGGGATCCTGTGGGTCTTCCTCGAAACAGAAATTGTTAGTTGCATCCTCAAGGCTGCTGGAGTCCAAGATGGAGACAAAGGTTTTGGGGCCTGACCAGTCAGCAGAGCTCCTTGGGTGCTTGCCTACAGGAGCAGAGAGCACAGGGTGGAGTCAGGCACCAGGCCGGCCACGGAGAGGACATATGTATGGGTATGTTCTGGGATGAGGATAGGAGCCCAGAATGTCAGGGCTGAGAAGACCTGGAAGACCAGCCAGTTCCCACTCTTTATTTTCCACCTGGGGAACCCAGGCCCAGAGAGGAGAAATAGTATTTTCCCAAGGTCACACGGCAAGCTGCAGTAGGGTTAGGGAGGGAACCCCTGTCTTCAGGACACAGAGAAGAGTCTGGGAAGTGGGTGAGATGGGAACCTCCCCCACAGGCCCCAGACTCTCCCTACCTCCCCGGGGGCTGCACAGCAGTGGGCCTCAAGCTGGGACATGAGGTTCTCCTTCCCAGCTGTGGGAAGCTGGGGACACTTTAGGTGAGCCTTTCCCCCTGACCCCACCCCACTCTTCCTCACCCCCAGTCTGAGGTCTCATCTCATTTAGATGGACCATTTAGACCACCCCACCCCCCATTCTCTCCTTCGCACCCACAGTTGGTAACTAATATTGATGAAGTTTTATAGGTGGGACAGCTAAAGGACCGAGGAGTAACTTGCCAAGGCGACATCAAAATTGGGTAGTAGGACTGGTGACAGAACTGCTCAATGATCCCTAACCCCAAACTCAGATGTTCTCCCTGGCCAGAGACACTCACTGATGACTCCTGCTTGAATGGTCAACTTTGTGACATGGCCGTGAGCTTTGGGAGGGGAGGCCCCACTCCTTGTCAGTCCTTGAGCCAGATGCCTCTTTAGGTGAGCCCCCTGCTCCTTGTTCAAGGCACTCTCAGCAGGCAAGACACTGCGGTGCTCCCTAAAGTGGGGAATTGCAGGCTTACAGTCAGTCACATTTAGAGGAGGCCCACGCACCCCCCCACACACACACACCCTTTGTCAGACACCATACTCACGAGAAAAAGGCACACTTGTGACAATTGCAGGTCTGGAAGGGGCAGAAGTGCTCCTGGTCCTTGATTTGCTCAGTGAAGCCGTGGTTGTAGCAGCGGACACAGCGACTTACAGCTCTTTTGGGGCCAAGTTCAATCCCCCATGGGGCTCCGGTCTCAAGACCAGTGGGGGAGTCTGAGGGGCAGCAGGGCACAGCAGGCATCTCATTGGGATCCATGGTTCTAGGGCCAGGAGCGGAGGTCAGGATGGCTACATGATCCCCCTACCCTCAACGTACTTCCTCTGCCCTTTGAAAACCCCACCTGAGGTGCCTGGATTCTCCTTCACCCAGCTCACCGCTGAAATCAGATCCCATCCACCCTTCTTGCTCACAGAGCCTCCTTCCCAGGAAGCCCCACTCACACATAGTCTCATTCCAAGAAACTCTTGGCATGGTTCCTGTAAACTTTCAATCCAATCATTATTCTCGTTGCTTTCCTTCACTCTACATAGACCCCATGTTCAGGCATACTCGTGCACTCTTGTGCCCCCTTCAACAATTACTGCCCTCCCCTTCCCGTGTATCATCCTGTACTCAGCCATACTGCACTATTTTTCCTGGTCTCCACCTCCGCAATTGTCTTCCTGACCTCCTGCATTCATTCACTCCCTACTCATGATTCTAGCCCTAGCCCTCTTTTCTCCCCCTCCCCCCTGAATTCTATTATTAGTCTCATGTATGTCCTACATTCAACTTTCCTCTCACACCTCATTCGGACTCTCTTCTCGCACCCTACCGTAATCTTAATTATTTTCTCACACACACCCCCTTTAAGCTGACACCCCCTTTGCGCACTATGAAATTATATCATGATGCTGGATCCCAAGCCCCTCTTTCAATAATCATTTTTATTCATCCCTTCCAGTATTTAGTGACCAGATCCTCGTTGAGCCCCCTATCGAATGCCAGACCCCGATCTAGTCAACAGCCAACTCCTCACTGCACTAATTGCTTTCTTCCGCCAACACACCCTCTTTGCTTTCATGCAAACCCACGTATTCCCTGAACAACCTCTCAGCAATCTTTCACACTCCTCTTTCCTCTTCACACTTCAATGGTCCACCTCCCGGTCCCTCACACATGGGGTGCACCACCGCATCTCAGGCAGCCCAATCATTCGCTGCCACTACCACATCAGAATCAAAGGCAGGGACATGAGCTCCACCTCAGGTTCCAGAGGCCAGGCGTCAGGGGGCTGAGGCAAGGGTTTCCTCCCACAGGCATTTGGTGGTTGTTGGTTGGTGAGGGGGGCGGCGGGGGTGGGGCAGAGTGCGAGGTATATCAGGAGCTGGCGGAGGTACCCCACTGAGGTGGAGGAGAAGAGACACAGTTGGTCATCCCAAGCAGGAGGGAGGGAGGAATAGAGGAAAGGACGGAGGGGTGAAAGAAGGTGTGTGGAGAACGAGGGTCGAGGGTCGAGGGTCGAGGGTCCGATTCCTAATGCCAGCCTCTGGTTACCTCAGCTTCCCATAGATCAGAATCCAACAGCAGGGACAAGAGGTGGGAAGGAGGACCCAGCTGTCTCTCGCTCTCACTCTCTCTCTATCTCTTTCCCGCCCTTCCCACAAAGGCCAATGAGCTTCCAGCGCTGCCTTCCACCTCCCAAGCTGAGGCCAGCGACCAATGAGCTTTGAGTTCCATCGAAGCTCACCCAACAAAGTCCCGCCCCCTCTCCTCTTGCCTTGGTGTGGCGGCTTTACCAAACCAGACTCTAACTCGTGAAGTGAAGTGAAACTTTGTGCTTCCCAGACACAGGCTGGCAGGCTTTTCTCTCTTTGGATGTGAAATATTACATGTGCGTGCATATTTAACTCGTGTCCTTGGTATTCTGTAACTTACCTTTACAAAATTCACCGTGTGTTTTTAAGATTCATCCATATTCCCCTGTCAGGGATTGTCAATGGGCGGTGGGGTCCCGGTTGGTGTGGGGGGATTCTGCACCCCCAGGGTACATTTGGCGCTGCCTGAGTCATTTTGTTCCATCTTTGCGTGTCTCCGTGTCTGAGCTCCCTCTTCTGTTCCACAGATAAATTTGTCTATAACTGTGCCAGTACTACACCATCTTAATTTTTACCCCTTGTTATGACATCCTGATCTATGTTTGGGCAAGTCCCCACATCTTATTCGTGATCTTCAAGCATATCTTCCTTATTCTTCCCTTCCAGTATAAACGTCAGAATCAGCATGCCACGTTCCTTGAAAGCTCATTTGTAACGGTTTGGGGTTGCATTTTCTTTAAATCTGTGGATGAGCCAGGGGAGAATTGACTATCTTCAGGACACCCAGCCCTCCTAGTCACCAACATGGCATGTCTCTCCATTTAGGTAGGTTTTCCTTAACGTTTTAACCTTTCAGTTTAGTGTTTAGTTTTATCTTTTGTACATTCAGATCTTGTACATCCTTTCTTGCATTTATCCCAAGATATTCTAGAGTGTTGTTGCTCTTGTACTTGATACCTGTTTAAAATGGCATTTTCTGATTGTATATGACTTATAGGAATCCATTTGACTGTTTAAAAACTATATTGACCTTAAAGTCAGCCACCCTGCTAAACTCTGTGATATCTAATAATTTGTCTTTAGACATTCTGCTGTTTTTCACGAATCTGTGAGTTACAGAAGCACAGTAATCAATGTATAGGTTCCTCAAGCCTCTACCGGCTGGCTCGGGCCTCCACACAAGGTTGAAGAGACATGACGAAATTGGACCTGAGTTTTCCCTCGTATTAAATAGAATGCTGCCGACATTTCCATAATAAAATATGTTTGCTGTGTTTTATTGTTTCCTTACTCCCTCCCTCCATCTCTCCCTTCCTTCTTCTCCTTTTCTCTTTCCTTTCTCCCTTTCTTTTCTCCATCCTTCCTTTCTTTCTCTTTTCTCTGTTTCCCTTTATACAATTAGGAGCTTCCCTTATATTTCCAGCTTAACGAGTTTCTTTTAAAAATCATGGATAGGGGGATCCCTGGGTGGCGCAGCGGTTTAGCGCCTGCCTTTGGCCCAGGCCGCGATCCTGGGGACCCGGGATCGAGTCCCACGTCGGGCTCCCGGTGCATGGAGCCTGCTTCTCCCTCTGCCTGTGTCTCTGCCTCTCTCTCTCTCTCTCTCTCTCTCTCTCTCTCTCTTTCTCTGTTTCTCTGTGACTATCGTAAATAAATAAAAATTTAAAAAAAAATAAAAATCATGGATAGAGGGCAGCCCCAGTGGCACAGCGGTTTAGCGCCGCCTGCTGCCCAGGGCGTGGTCCTGCAGACCCTGGATCGAGTCCCATGTCAGGCTCCCTACATGAAGCCTGCTTCTCCCTCTGCCTCTCTCTCTCTCTCTCTCTCTATCTCTATGAATAAATAAATAAAATCTTTAAAAAAAATCATGGATAGATGTTGAATTTTACTTTTTTGTGTCTCTTGAAATGATCAAGATTCTATTTGTTTAGTGTGTTGATAGTGGCCGTTATTTGTTGATGCTTTTTTCAAAATCTTTAATGCAGGTTCTAATCACAATAGTAAAAATCATAAACGTGTATCTTTATGAGTTTTCAAAAATTAAACATAAACGTTCAGTTGACACCCAGGAGAAGCATACAGAATATATTGGCAACAAAATCTCTCTCATGCCCCCTTCCAGCTATAGTTTTCTTATGTTTTTTGTTTTAGTTTTTTTTTTAATGTGAAACCAGCTTTGCTAATGCTATCATTTCTTTCTTTCTTTCTTTCTTTCTTTCTTTCTTTCTTTCTTTCTTTCTTCTTTCTTTTTTGGCAAATCTTTTGCTATAAAGATGATCATCCCAGCCCCCCATCCGGTACCTTGTTGCTGTTTCTGCTGTTGTTTTTGCAGCAGCAGAGAATGATGAAAAGTCATTCGTTTGCTGTGTTCAAAGAAATATAAAGGGAACAAAGTGGACAATATCAAGAGAAAGGTAAACAAACTGAAAATGAATTTGATAAGAAGTTCTCTAACAGTCCAAACATAATGACAAAATCCAGTGACTGAAATTAACAACAAAAACAACAAAATTTTTAACAACTGTTAATAGAATCTGAGTTTTAAATTTGGTCAGCTATAAAAATGGCTTAGATCTTCTGTGCTTGCTCACACACACACACACACACAAACATTTTAGATGGACATATGCTAAGAAATATAAATTAAAAAACTTTATTTCAGTTACAGAATGTATATCAGAAAATTATGACACCATATATTATATCTTACACAAAGCAGAAGATCTTCAACTAAGTCTATATAATACAAGACCTTTCTGACAATATGAACAAGGAATTGATTCAAAATCTGAAAAAAGTCAAATAACTTATTTTTACCACACTTGAGTTATGAGACATGAGACCCTGGCCAATTGATACTTCAGGTACATTTTGTCTCCAAAGGCTTTCCAATTAGCAAAGCCATATTTGTAGCTTTAAAAAATTGAACTCGGGCAGCCCGGGTGGCTCCGTGGTTTGGCGCTGCCTTCAGCCCAGGGCGTGATCCTAGAGACCTGGGATCAAGTCCCACGTTAGGCTCCCTGCATGGAGCCTGCTTCTCCCTCTGCCTGTGTCTCTGCCTCTCTCTCTCTTTCTCTCTCTCTCTCTCTCTCTCTCCCCCCCTCTGCGTATTCTCATGAATAAACAAAATCTTTTAAAAATAATAAATAAAAATTAAAAATTGAACTCATGGCACAGATATTGTGGAATCTGTTCTATCACTTACAATAGAATTTGAGCTAATATCAAGAGATATTACAAAAAAATAGTTTCTGTCATGAAGGAGAACAATCTAGCTGTTATGCTGGAAATCAAATTTCATTGTTGTTTTTTTTATTTATTTATGATAGTCACAGAGAGAGAGAGAGAGAGAGAGAGAGAGAGGCAGAGACACAAGCAGGCTCCATGCACCGGGAGCCCGACGTGGGATTCGATCCCGGGTCTCCAGGATCGCGCCCTGGGCCAAAGGCAGGCGCCAAACCGCTGCGCCACCCAGGGATCCCTCATTGTTGTTTTAAAGCAAGAGCCCAATGTTTCTCTTACTCATCTTCCCACTGTGTGAACAATATTGAGACGATGGATACTTAAGTTCCTAAGGTAGACTATATGTCAATTATGGATATAATTATTAATGTCATTCAGTAAATATGTGCAAATGCAGTGAATCATTGAAGGTTAATTTTGTCAGTGGTGTTAGAG